AAGGGTTGGAGAGAGGGGGGTAAAGGAGGTTTTGTGGGCAAGGGGCTTGGACTTCCAGCAAGCGTGCGTGAGCGTGTTAGATAGGAGTGAATGGAGACGAATGGTACTTGGGACCTGACGATCTGTTGGAGTGTGAGCAGGGTAATATTTAGTGAAGGGATTCAGGGAAACCGGTTATTTTCATATAGTCGGACTTGAGTCCTGGAAATGGGAAGTACAATGCCTGCACTTTAAAGGAGGGGTTTGGGATATTGGCAGTTTGGAGGGATATGTTGTGTATCTCTATACGTATATGCTTCTAAACTGTTATATTCTGAGCACCTCTGCAAAAGCAGTGATAATGTGTGAGTGTGGTGAAAGTGTTGAATGATGATGAAAGTATTTTCTTTTTGGGGATTTTCTTTCTTTTTTTTTGGGTCACCCTGCCTCGGTGGGAGACGACCGACTTGTTGAAAAAAAAAAAAAAAAAAAAATTATATATATATATATAGGCAGTAATTTCATGCACTGGTCAGGGAGGTATACCATCTTTTAGGAGTGAAGAAGAGCAGAATGTAAGTGTGGGGGAGGTACGTGAGGCATTACGTAAAATGAAAGGGGGTAAAGCAGCTGGAACTGATGGGATTATGACAGAAATGTTAAAAGCAGGGGGGAATATAGTGTTGGAGTGGTTGGTACTTTTGTTTAATAAATGTATGAAAGAGGGGAAGGTACCTAGGGATTGGCAGAGAGCATGTATAGTCCCTTTATATAAAGGTAAAGGGGACAAAAGAGACTGTAAAAATTATAGAGGAATAAGCTTACTGAGTATACAGGAAAAGTGTACGGTTAGGGTTATAATTGAAAGAATTAGAGGTAAGACAGAATGTAGGATTGCGGATGAGCAAGGAGGTTTTAGAGTGGGTAGGGGATGTGTAGATCAGGTGTTTACATTGAAGCATATATGTGAACAGTATTTAGATAAAGATAGGGAAGTTTTTATTGCATTTTATGGATTTAGAAAAGGCATATGATAGAGTGGATAGAGGAGCAATGTGGCAGATGTTGCAAGTATATGGAATAGGTGGTAAGTTATTAAATGCTGTAAAGAGTTTTTATGAGGATAGTGAGGCTCAGGTTAGGGTGTGTAGAAGAGAGGGAGAATACTTCCCGGTAAAAGTAGGTCTTAGACAGGGATGTGTAATGTCACCATGGTTGTTTAATATATTTATAGATGGGGTTGTTAAGGAAGTAAATGCTAGGGTGTTTGGGAGAGGGGTGGGATTAAATTATGGGGAATCAAATTCAAAATGGGAATTGACACAGTTACTTTTTGCTGATGATACTGTGCTTATGGGAGATTCTAAAGAAAAATTGCAAAGGTTAGTGGATGAGTTTGGGAATGTGTGTAAAGGTAGAAAGTTGAAAGTGAACATAGAAAAGAGTAAGGTGATGAGGGTGTCAAATGATTTAGATAAAGAAAAATTGGATATCAAATTGGGGAGGAGGAGTATGGAAGAAGTGAATGTTTTCAGATACTTGGGAGTTGACGTGTCGGCGGATGGATTTATGAAGGATGAGGTTAATCATAGAATTGATGAGGGAAAAAAAGGCGAGTGGTGCGTTGAGGTATATGTGGAGTCAAAAAACGTTATCTATGGAGGCAAAGAAGGGAATGTATGAAAGTATAGTAGTACCAACACTCTTATATGGGTGTGAAGCTTGGGTGGTAAATGCAGCAGCGAGGAGACGGTTAGAGGCAGTGGAGATGTCCTGTTTAAGGGCAATGTGTGGTGTAAATATTATGCAGAAAAATTCGGAGTGTGGAAATTAGGAGAAGGTGTGGAGTTAATAAAAGTATAGTCAGAGGGCAGAAGAGGGGTTGTTGAGGTGGTTTGGTCATTTAGAGAGAATGGATCAAAGTAGAATGACATGGAAAGCATATAAATCTATAGGGGAAGGAAGGCGGGGTAGGGGTCGTCCTCGAAAGGGTTGGAGAGAGGGGGTAAAGGAGGTTTTGTGGGTAAGGGGCTTGGACTTCCAGCAAGCGTGCGTGAGCGTGTTAGATAGGAGTGAATGGAGACGAATGGTACTTGGGACCTGACGATCTGTTGGAGTGTGAGCAGGGTAATATTTAGTGAAGGGATTCAGGGAAACCGGTTATTTTCATATAGTCGGACTTGAGTCCTGGAAATGGGAAGTACAATGCCTGCACTTTAAAGGAGGGGTTTGGGATATTGGCAGTTTGGAGGGATATGTTGTGTATCTTTATATGTGCATGCTTCTAGACTGTTGTATTCTGAGCACCTCTGCAAAAACAGTGATAATGTGCGAGTGTGGTGAAAGTGTTGAATGATGATGAAAGTATTTTCTTTTTGGGGATTTTCTTTCTTTTTTGGGTCACCCTGCCTCATTGGGAGACGGCCGACTTGTTGGAAAAAAAAAAAAAAAAAAAAAAAAAAAAAAAAAAAAAATATTATATATATATATATATATATATATATATATATATATATATATATATATATATATATATATATATATATATTATATATATATATATATATATATATATATATATATATATATATATATATTATATATATATATATTATATATATATATTATATATATATATATATATATATTATATATATATATATATATATATATATATATATATATATATATATATATATATATATATATATATATATATATATATATATATATATATATATATATATTAAGATAGCCATATCTTACCAAAGGAAGGATAAACTAAGGACATAAATTCACTATCATTCATTCAATAGCTGTCTTGCCATAAGTGCAGACATCACAATTAAAATGACCCTCTAGACCGCAATTTCCCTACCCATCCTTCAGTGTGTAGATAAAGCACTTCTCTGCTACAAGCTAGCTATGTTTGTGAATTGTTTTCATCTTTTAATTACTATATCTTGTATCTGCCAAGCAATCATGACACCCAGTGTTGCTGAAATTGGCAAGAAAAGGTATAAGCATTTAAGTCTAAGAATTAACAAAGAAAACAAAGATATTCAACAAGAGATAACCATAATAAAGTGTTACTTTGTACACATAGAAAGAGGTAAACATAAGTTTGTGTGACTGACTGACTGACTTACTGAATGACTTACTGACTGACTTACTGAATGACCTGACTGAATGACTTACTGACTTGACTGAATAGTTTACTGACTTGACTGAATAACTTAACTGACTGACTGACTGATTTGACTGACTTACTGAATGGCTTGACTGAATGAATGACTTGACTTATTGATTTGACCCTCCAGTACAACCATCGACTTCAGTACCCGAACCTCTACCATCCACCTCAGCCCAGTAGAGCCACAGCATAACTCTCCACAATCATCCACAAACACCAGCACCCATAATTTAAGGTAAGAAATACGTACTATTATTTCTGTTACAGTTGTAGTCTTAAGCTGTAAAAAAAATAATACATCACAACAATGAACTACAATTACATATTCACTTTTATTTTTATAAGATGTGGAGGCCTAAAAAAAAGTTGTTTGGCTTTTTAGGGGCTCTCAAGAACGTAACCCTATTTTTCCCACAAGTTATTCAGTTCATCTAACGTGGTTTTTTTTTCCTAACACTGTATTTTCAGGAACGTAACTACCGTGTTAAATGACAGTCTACTGTAGCCTCTTATATGATTACAGAGTACAAATAGGCCTATATAGAGAAAATCAATGATTCTGATGATGTGATAGATGATTTTGAAGGATTGAAGGCAAGGAAATATAAGATCAAATTCACTGGGATGTTATCTGTACTCAAAGTCAAATCGTAACTAGTGTTTCTCTGATATTGCAATGTTTTTATTTTTCAAGTTTTTTTTTTTTTCACAGTGTTGAAGATGAATAAATGTAGGATCTGTTGCCTGTACTCAAAGTGGTAGTTGAGTTTATGTTTCCTCAATGTTACTACAATTATTTATTTTATCATTAATAAAGTTGAGAAGTATTCTCCTGTTTGGTTTATGGTCCTTAAACATTCTCATTGCTAAGCATTAGTCACTGGGCATGCAGTAGTGACGTAACTGAAGTTTACTCCCCCCATCCCCAGCCCTTGGACTTCATGGGGGTGACACCAAAGGTGCCACCTCAGGTGATACCAACCCTAGCAACACCACTGGTTTGTTCCACTTTTTTTCAGTATTTTTCAGCTTGACCCCACTTAACAGCTGAGTCAGGGAAGGGCATCCAGTGTCAATTTATTGGTGGTGATTCAGTCTGTTTACAGCATTTGTGCGCTCTGCATCTCTTGTATTCTAGTAGTTTTCCAGAGTTTCGAATATTTTAAAGTTATTATACATAATATTTTTGGGTTAATTACAATGGCATTTAAGGGTAGTTGTTATTAAAAAAAAAAAAAAAGGCTAGCAACAGGTAACCTTGAACAACCTTTAATGTCAACAGCAACACAAATTCTTGCAAGAGCCTCATCCAAGTCTTTTTCATCAAAACGAATAAGATTCACTGAAGTGTCAAATGATGAAAATGTGACATTTCCCTCACCCTTCATACAATAAACATATTCATTTTTAAAATTTATATTCACCACTTACTATAAGCAAAGGATGAAAATATCTGAGTACTATATGTTCAACTAATTTTCATATTTTTTTTTTAGGCCTAGCTCAATTGTGCACTTAATATATGATAATATAAACATGTTATCAAGCTTTTATATACATTTGAAAGTGAAAAAAGGCTATGTTCCACTTTTCAGCGATTTTCACTCTTGGTGGAAGTCAGGAACCTAACCCTTCATATAAACAAAGCCCTACTGTACTTAATAATTAAGCAAGAGTCAACTATATGGTAGGTACCCCTTATGTATGATAAAAGGGAAATGAAAGAAAGATTTAATTAACATGACGAAAGAATCCAATCAAGCTGCTTATTTCTTAAAACAGGCATAAGGCAATTTAAATTATCCCTAATTTATCTGACAAAACTTACATGCTTAGGAAGGTAAATGTCATAGACTTGTCCTGAGTCAACATCTACTGCATGGAATCCCTGGTTGGAGCCATACACCACTTTAAGGCGTGAACCTTCTTCAACAGTGAGGTCTACCAAACAGGGTTTCTGAACCAACTCTCCAAAACTCTGTAAAAAAAAAAAATTAAATAATGATTTAAAATATTAAGGTTGTGAATGCTGCAGCAAGGAGGCTAGAGACAGTGGAAATGTTGAGGGCAATATGTAGTGCAAATATTATGAAGAGAATTCATAGCCTGGAGATTAGGAGGGCAGGGTTACTAAATGTGTTATTCAGAGGGCTGAAGAGGGATTGTTGAGGTGGTTTAGACATTTAGGGAGTATGGAACAAAATAGGATGACCTGGAAGGCATATAAATCTGTAGTGGATGGAAGGCAGGGCAGGGGTCATCCTAGGGAAGGTTGGAGATAGGGAGAAAAAGGTTGCTTTGCATGTGAGGGGCTTAGATATCCAGCAAGCATGTACAAGTGTGTTAGATAGGAGTGAATGGAGGCAAGTGGTCTTGGAGTATGAGCAAGGTAACATGAAGGGATTCAGGGAAACCAGTTAGCCAGACTTGAGCCTGGAGGTGGAAAGTAGTGCCAGCACTCTGAAAGAGGGGAGGGGATATTTGCAATTTTGAAGTGAAGTATCAGCACTGCTCTGGCAAGAGTGATGGTGAAAGTGTTTCGTCTTTTTCGGGTCACCCTACCTCGCGGTGCGATGACCAGTGTGTAATAATAATAATAATAATAATAATAATAATAATAATAATAATTAAAGGTAGTAGGTTGGTAGACAGCAACTGCCCAGGGAGGTACTACCGTCCTGCCAAGTGAGTGTAAAACGAAAGCCTGTAATTGTTTTACATGATGGTAGGATTGCTGGTGTCCATTTTTCTGTCTCATAAACATGCAAGATTTCAGGTACGTCTTGCTACTTCTACTTACACTTAGGTCACACTACACATACATGTGCAAGCATATATATACACACCCCTCTAGGTTTTCTTCTATTTTCTTAATAGTTCTTGTTCTTGTTTATTTCCTTTACATTCGGGGAGGGGAACAAAATTTTTCCCTCCGAACCTGCGGTTGTAAGGGGCACAAAAATGTCAGGAGCAAGGGTCGAAACCCCTTTCCTGTATATTTAAAAAATTTAAAAGGGAAGCTTTTTTTTTTCCCTTTTGGGCCACCCGCCTCGTGAGTATGGCCGTGTTTAAAAAAGAAAGAATAATAATAATAAATAATAATAATAATAATAATAGTAAAATTTTATTCAATTGCTTTTTACTTACAGCTTCAACAAAAACTTTTGTAAAAAAAAAATTAAAATATAAATTTGTTATTTACCTTAAATGCCAAAACTTAGGGAGGTTTAGGTGCCCAATAACTAAATTTGAATCACGCAGAGCAATCACCAGGAACTTAATTTCATATTTCACAACTTAAAATAACTCCCCCAGGGAAAGATCACCACTTGTCCAACCATTTCCCCCTTAAATTTTGCTGTAAAGATTTTAATGAGACTTAGAAATTTTTCCCTAATTTCCTACTCATACATAAATGATAAAAAAAATTTTTTAAACCAAAAGTCTTTGTATTCACGTTAAGCTGTAAAGGGGATCAAAATTCAGATTAACTTTATATTTATTCTTTAAGAAATAATGGGGTTATTCTTTTAGAAGTGGGAACTGTAGTTTGGAAGGGGTTAAAATTTTTTTCCCTTTTGATATACCTTTAAAGATTTCGGATTTAAACTACTCTCGGGCCCCAGCCAGGGGCCCATGGTGAGTGGGGGGGGTGTGAGTTGGCCCGATTGGGCCCTGATCAACCGGGCTGTTGTGTGGAGGCCCAGTGCCCCACATACCCACCACAGCCTGGTTGATCTGGCACCTGGTGAAGATACTTGTCCAGTTTCCTCTTGAAGGCTTCCACACTTGTTCCAGCCATGTTTTTGATATCTTCTGGTATGATGTTGAATAGTCTGGGACCCCAGATGTTGATACAGTGTTTCCTTACTGTCCCCCCTACTCCCCTGCTCCTCACTGGGTTTATTTTACACTTCCTCCCATATCTCTCACTCCAGTATGTTGTTATGGCAGTGTGAAGATTTGGGACCAGGCCCCTCAAGTACTTTCCAGGTGTATATTATCATGTATCTCTCTCTCTCCTCTGTTCCAATGAGTACATGTTCAAGACTTGAGGGCATTTCCAGTAATTTAGGCGCTTTACAGGCTCAATGGGAGCCGTAAATGATTTCTGTATTTGTTCCAGCTCTGATATTTCTCCTGCTTTGAACGGGGGCATCAGCACTGAGCAATATTCTAAACAAGGGAGCACTAGCGATTTGAAGAGTGTCGCCATCAGCATTATTTCCCTTGTTTTGAAAGTTTTCAATACCCACCCCATCATCTTCCTGGCTGTCGTGATCTTTGTCTGATGCCCCTTAAAAGAAAGGTCAGCTGACATAATTCTTCCCAGGTCTTTTACGTGTTCCTTTCGTTCTATTTCGTGACCCTCTTGAGTTCTGTATATAGTGTACCTTTTGAGTTCTTCATTCTTTCTATACCTAAACAGCTGGAACTTATCACCAATGAACATCATGTTGTTCTCCACTGCCCACTGGAAAATCCTGCTTATGTCAAATCTTATTTACCAAGCAATTAATGAGATCTTATTCACATAGTAACTGGATTCTTATTCACTAAGCAGTAACTGGGATAGCATTCATCAAGCTGTAACTGGGATAATGGTACACTACTCACTGAGTAGTTACTGGAATCTTATTAAAAAAGAATTTTGAAATCATTTTAATGTTATTTCTCTTATAAAATAGCTAACTGAGCCATTTGTCTATAAATCCCAGATATCCGGAGAAACTTCATTCTACATTGAGGCTATCTGCTGAACACAGTACTGTTTACATAGCAATGATTTGCTCTTCCTCATTCTAAGATTGATTAATTCATAGAACTTAACACTTTGACCACAAAAGTCATTCAATGCATACAAGTAATATCCATTCCTCAGTCTAAAATCTGTAAGCTTAGGGTAAACAGCTAAAAATGTTCACCATATAACATTACGAGTATCACATAGAGGCACTCATCTTATTGTAAAGAAAAAGATGTAAGCCAGATAGCAGAATCTTGGTGGCCATGTTCAGTATTCAATCTGTCAAAACTGTAAAATGTTTCAAATTTAATAGCATATGCAGCCCTTATTATCTTATACTGGATCCCATTCTGCCACTATTTGTCATGAAATTTTTTCTAGTACTGTCTCATTTTAGGATGTATCTTTTTTTCTGTTTTCAATTGTGCTCTTGTTTTATTACTGATGGTCCTAGGTCATATTTTATCAACTTTCTCATACAATATCATTTTTCAAATTTCTCATATCGTTTCATTATGTATTGTATGGTTGTCTCCTATCGGTCAACAAACACACTATTCAAATTTTAATTCTATCTTCTTAAAACTTTTTTTTTTCTTTTTTTAGCTCCAGATTTTCTTTTTTTATTTTCTTTTTACCCTTTCACCCTGCTCACAGACCTGGCCACAGAGGCATTGACCACCAAACCCTTCTCCAGGTGTACTCCAAGTATTTCAGTGGACGTCACAAAGAGTTACATCATTGAGGCCAGGGTCCCATCACGTAGTTCTACGTTATGAAGTCAGCTCACTTAGTTAAGCTGTGAGCGGTAAAGTTTGGTATAGATAGGAGAGAGTGAGTCTGTGCAGTGAGTGTGCACAATATAAAAATAATCCTTCCCCAGGCAGTGCATGATAGGAAAAGCAAAACTCTGACCATGTGTTTGGCTTAAAATAGTGAGTCAGGCGTTTTCTAGAATATTTTTCGTGATTTTATTGGCTGTTTTTTGGTATCTTTTGACAGAATGGAAGACATACTACTGAAACATGGATAATTTTGGTTGGTTGGTTGCTTGAGATTGGGTTCAAAGTAGCAGAAATATTTGAATTTTCCAAATGTGCCTGAGGACGGTTAAGGCTTCCCCCCTACACCTCCTGGTCTGTTTTATGGGTTTTTAACCCTTAACCCTTTCATTGTCGGTCCCGTAATATTATGGCTTGCAAGCTAGTGTCAGTCCCGTAATAGTATGCCAAAATTATAGCAGCTTCCAATCTTGCAGGAGAAAGCTGGTAGGCCTACATACGAGAGAATGGGTCTGAGTGGACAGTGTGCACATTTTGATTTTTTATTCACAAAATTTTTTTATTCACACCAAGAAATAGAAGATTTACTGTTATGCAATAATGTATTAAGTGTATAAATAATATCAGCACATTTGTGATGCATATTAGACCCACCATCTGACATGTATTGGAAGAGTGATGTGATTTGTTTACTCTTAAACATTGGCAAAAATTGAACATTTCGCTACTTTGGGCTCAGTTTCAAGCAATTTTCAGTACTAAAAACCAATCAAAATCATCTTTATTTCTGTAATATATCTTCCACTCTATCAAATGAGACCAAGAAACTGCAAATACAACCATAAAAACCATACAAAAATACACCACAAATTTGGCATTTTAATCCAAAAACACACTAGCAGTTTTTTTCTCATTTTGCACTGTGCTGCAGGATTTGTTTTATATGCTGCACACTTACCACAGATGCATTCTCTCACATCTAGACCCATATCACAGCTTATCTGAGTGAGCTGAGCTCATCACGTACGCAACAACTTGGACCGAGGCTTCAAAGCCATAGAACTACAGGACGGACCCTCAAAGGGTCAAAAGAAAAGCTTTCATTTTTCTTTTTAGGTCACCTGCCTTGGTGAGATATAGCCAGTTTGTGGAAAAAAAATGTATCAATGTGCATGGTAATTTCACACAATATTTTTTTATTTTTTTTATTAACACACTGGCTGATTCCCACCAAGGTAGGGTGGCCTGAAAAAGAAAAACTTTCATCATCATTCACTCCATCACTGTCTTGCCAGAAGGGTGCTTTACACTACAGTTTTTAAACTGCAACATTAACACCCCTATTTCAGAGTGCAGGCACTGTACTTCCCATCTCCAGGACTCAAGTCCGGCCTGCCGGTTTCCCTGAATCCCTTCATAAATGTTACTTTTCTCACACTCCAACAGCACGTCAAGTATTAAAAACCATTTGTCTCCATTCACTCCTATCAAACACAATATGCATTTAAAAAATTAATCAATGTGCATGGTAATTTCACACAATATACATTTATAGTATATGTACAGTAAAAAAACAAAAACTCACAGCATCTGTTCGGAGAATTTTGGACTTGAGCCATGAGAGATAATAAACTCGAACACGATTCTTCTTGCCAGATATAGTCACCAAAATATTCTGGTCAGAGAGCACTTCCATTTGTTGAAATCTCCGCCTGGAGATCAGTTGGTACACTTTACCCACACCCGACCGATCAAGTAGCATCAATCCTGTCTCCGTACCAATCAATAGGTTAACACCTGAAAAATGTAATATCTCATTAGTAAATTGATATTCCACAATACAGTTTTATACATATTCACAGATATCATTTGTATTGCAAGGGTCACCCAGTGCAGCATATACTAAGGGACACAGAATTTGGATTTACTAACTAGGGAGCACTACATTTCAGAAACTACTAAAGATTTGAGGAGTAACAATTAAGCTATTGTATTAGAGTAAATGAGAGACTTTCTATTTGAATGGAAACAATAAACAGTAAAAAGAGGAACGGTATCATTTGGAAATATCATCAGTAGGATCTCACAAGACTCAGTACCTACCTACATAATATTTCTAAATTTATATAAATGACTTGCCAGGAAGAATAAAATACTATATGAACATACAGGAGGTGTGAGGCAGCAAGATGTCATTAAAGATGGTAGGGCCTGACAGGGTGTCACCATGGATTCTACAAGGAGCAGCAGAAGCACCGTTCAAACCACTAGCTATGATATATAAGTCAATGAACATGGGACAGTTGCCAACGATCTGGAAGGCAGTGAATGTAATATCTATATTTAAGAAAGGAGATAGGCAGGAAACAATGAACTACTACTGCTACTACAGCAGCAATGGCAGAGGAGGTGAAAGTCTAAGGACAAGAGAAAAAAGAAAGAAGTCCTGCTGGGAATCTTCATTGATTTACGTAAAGCTTTTGATACAGTCAACCTTTATTTGCTGCACATTAAATTAACACACTATGCTATAAGAGGTCACTCCCTCAACTACCTAAAGTCATACCTAAGTAACAGAAGCCAATATGTGTACACAAATGGAGCTAACTCTTTCACACAACCAATTACAGTCGGGGTCCCATAAGGAAGTGTCCTTGGTCCTCTCCTCTTTTTCATTTACATCAGTGACCTACCGAATGCATCACAACTACTCAAATCCATATTTGCAGATGACACTACATATGTCTTCTCTCACCCAAACCCAGTCATACTGGCTAACACTGTTAATGCTGAATTGCAGAAAATATCTACATGGATGACGACTAACAAGCTTACTCTCAATACCGCCAAAACTTACTCCATTCAGTTTGGAAACAGAGCCACAAACGTTCCACTTAACATAACGCCAAATGGATCACCCATCACAAGATGCACAGAGGGAAAATTCCTAGGAATCCACCTTGACAGTAGCCTCAAATTCCAGACACATATACAACAAATTTCCAAGAAAATATCTAAGACAGTAGGCATACTATCAAAGATACAGTACTATGTTCCACAGTCAGCTCTCCTTGTACTGTATCACTCACTCAAAAGGATGCAGTCAGAATGATAAATTTCCACTCCAGACAGCATACTCCACCAATATTCAAAAGTCTAAAACTACTCACGGTAAAGAACATCCATACTTATTCTTGCGTCTACTACATACATAGAACACTACACTCAAACTTCGCCTCACCAACCTTAATAGGACACACGACCATAACACAAGACACAGATCACTTTTTGATGTACCCCGTGTCCACATCACACTGTGTAAGAACTCTATGCACATAAAGGGCCCCAAAATTTGGAATTTGTTACCAGTAAATACTAAAGTAACCTGGTCTGAACATCAATTTAAGACTCTTCTCAAAAACCATCTACTCACCTTAAACTAAATGCTCATTACTTAAATTTGCCAAAAGATCTCCCAATTACCTGAATCTTAACACTTCAAAATTTAGATACCCAAAGTTCAAACATAACTTAATACTACATTGTAGTATAAATACCTGCCCAAAACTATACTGCCTTACACAAAATTGTAGCATTCTCATAAAAACAGATGTACAACTTAAACAAACTATGATCAATTTCCATAGTATTAACCCTTTGAGGGTCGACAGGCCCTCTCCGAAACTCGTTCTCAGGGTCGGCCAAATTTAAAAAAAAAAAAAATTATTTTCTCTTATGAAAAGATAGAGAATCTTTTCCCGATCATAAAGACACCAAAAGTTTGAAATTTGATAGAAAACTTACGGAATTATGCTCTCACAAAGTTAGCGGTCTCGGCGATGTTTACGCATCGGTGATTTTGCCCACTTTGAGCCCCATTTTCGGCCAATTTCACTGTACTAGTCGACAAAAAAACATGAATATTTCGCTAGAACTCCATTTTTTCTATCGAATGGGTGCAAGAAACCACCCATTTATGAAATTCAACTATCCAGTACAGTGGTCAGAATTTAGCAATTTTGCCAATTTCACACAAATTTCAAAAGATGCCAATTTCCGAATAGGGTCCAGAATAAACAAGAAAGACATTCCTGGCACTAAAATGACATTTCCTCTAGTCATTAGTCACGTCTCAAGGCCCCTCTTATATTCTTTTGCTTTCCACTTTGAATTTTTATTCTCACAAAAAATATAAGATTTACTGTTATGCAGACTACTGCATTAGTGTAAAAAATGGTATAAATATTATTGGTGCACTTGTGAAAGAATATTAGACTCACCAGTTGACGTGTATTGCACGCTTGGCACGATTTGTTTACTTTTGAAGTTTGGTAAAAATCGAACATTTCTGCTACTTTGAGCTCAATTTCAAGGCACCTTTCATTGTAAAACCAGTCAAAATCATCTCAATTTCTGTAATATGTCTTCCATTCTATAAAATGAGACCAAGAAAACTAGAATACAACAATAAATACCATACGAAAATACACTGCAAAGTCGCTGATTTATTCCAAAAAAATGGTCTAAGTTTTTTTTTCTCATTATGCAGTGTGCTGCAGGATTTTTTTTAGACTGTGCACACTGACCACATAGACCCATTCTTTCATATGAAGGCCTACCAGCTTTCTCCCACTAGATTTGAGGCCGCTAGAATTTATGCGTACTAGTACGTCAAAAACCCCTACACGTAAGACGTACTAGTACGACCAAAACCCTCAAAGGGTTAAGTAGTCTGTAAGCCATTAAATTTAGTCTGCCCATAATGCCATGGCATGATAGTGGCTCTCTTTGCACTGCATTATTATTATTATAATCAAGGGGGAAGCGCTAAACCCGGAGGATTATACAGCGCCTGGGGGGAGGGGATGTGGAAGGCATTCAGGCTTAATTTGGGGAACTGAAGAAAAGATCCAATTCCCTAAATCAAGAGCCCCTCACCAACATCAAGGAACCTTCCTTGAGGGGTCTTTGCACTGCAACTCATTACTGTAATTACGTAATCTCAATGTAAACTTGCAAGGAAATAAAAATTGTATTGTACTGTATTGTAAGGGAGCACTGCAATACAGCTAATGATGCACAAGAGCAAGACAAAAATGCATGGTTGAATTTGAATATTTTGCTTAGTAATTTGGTCTTAAAACCTCGACCTATAATTGAGCATATAATGTACATTATAAACGAGACACAAGTACAGCACTTCTGTACAATAACTACAAAGAAGTAACTTCTCTAAATACGCAGCAACTATGGAAACTCTCGAGTAACATCAGATGAATTATCTTGTAAAATAGGGCTTACCCAAGTAGCTCTCCTTCCACCTGTTACACAGTAAAACCTCCCAAATCCACGAATTCGGTTTCCATGATTTCAGCTATCCACAGTTTACAGTGGCTCGAAAATAACCCTTAATTTTGCTTAATAATGGCCTCAAAGCACAAAAAGTAGTAATGGTGGCAGTTCTTCAAAGCCTAAGAGAAGACGTGAAGTACTTCCCATTAGTGAAAAAGTGCTAATTCTCAACTTTATCCACAGTTTCAGGTATCCACAGTAGGTATTGGAACATATCCCCTGCAGATACAGGGGGACTACTGCATAACATTCCAAAGAGTTTAGTATGAATGACTATCTGGCAACCAAAATTTACCTGTATCAACCAGACTTACCTATGTCTTGAACATTTCACTACTCAGATAGTGACAACTAAATATACTTATTACTAGTCTTACATTACTTGTACTACCTAGTATTTATGTATAATTCAATATATTCATAATGAAATACTCACCCCACAATGAGGCACAGAGAATTTCAGAGTTGAATCTCTTCTTGTACTTCCTAATTTCTGGGGTATCATTAACTTCATGTGATGTTGGTGCAACGTTGATACTGATGTGTGATTCCCGTCGTGGTGGTTCTGTTCCACCAGCACCGAAGCCAAATGTCATGAATGACCGCTGTTTAATCTGAAGTTGAGGAGGAGTACCCTTACCTACTGCTTGCCGGTACTGTAAAAAGAAAGATATTGTGCTTCAAGCACTAATGGCAATTACAGGTATAAATGCATAAACAATAAACTCTACTCAATTTATCTATACCATGACCAATCAGTGGTACATTTAAAACAACATGGCACATACAGTCTTCCAACACTATGCCTGTTTACCATTTTTACACAAGAGTCAAGATAACAATTCTTCAAGCTGATACTGTCTACTATACAAGTTTCTAGCTGCTACTTGTTGAAATGAGACAAGGAGGGCAGTCTCATAAATTATGCAGAAAAGAAAAGCCATTGA